CCTCTGGCACCCGTGCCATAGGTTCGCCACCACTGCTGTAGAGGATAAAATCACTCGGATATGCTCAGGGTTAGAGGCTAGCTGGAGCAGGTCCAGCTGAAATTATGGAGGCTTTGTCTTACAAAATAGTGGGATATTCTGGGTACTGAGGAAGTTCTCTACGTTTGATCATCTATCCTTTCTGGGTGAAATAAGGGAAGACTGAGTGTGGATAATGGGAAAAGTATATGTGAATGAGGTGTTGTTTCCTCTCTCTTCAAAAAGCCATCATCCAATTGTATTACAGCTAGTCCTTGTTTAGTGACTGCCTTGTTTAATGACTATTCAAGTTGCAGCAGTGATGAAAAAGTAATTTTATGATCAATTCTCACATTTACAACCTTGCAGATTTATAAAGCAATGGAAAGCTTTAATATGGTCATAAACACAGTCACAGTTTAACGTAGCATTCACTTTATTTAACAACCAAGTTGCCAGTCCCAATTATAGTTGCTAAAGGAAGATTAGCTATAAGTAACTATTGACCAGAATCCAGCCTTACTTTTTTTAGGGATAACTGCAGAGAATCATGGATGAAATAGTTTATTTTGATCTTTTCTGGTCAGAATTCAAGCCTGCATATGGGACTGAACCTATATCATTCAGCCTTTTTGATAACTTCTGGTGGAAATGGGGCAGGGGAGTGCAATTCTCCAGATCCTGTTTGATCTTTGAGGTGCAATTTAAATGTCACCTTTAAAGCTCTTCATGGCTCAGAGCCTGCATAACTCTAGTTTGAGTTGGTGTGGTCCGGTAAGATCTAGTAGAGAGGGCTTGCTGCAGGCTGCAAATCTGAGGTAAGGGACCCCTGCTTAAGCCTTCTCAGAGATGGATCCCTATTTCTAACCCCCCATGTCCAGATGGTCCTATTTCCCCTAATTTGTTTTTCAAAGAGTTATGAAACTAAGATTCTATAAAGGCATTTAGAGATGTGGGAAGATTCTGCTCTTTATTTTTTAATTTTTTTTGTTAATCATAACTACTTAGAATCTTTGGAAATGCAATGGCATATAAGCCAGGCTAATAAAAAATAAATAAGTAAATTACCAGAAAGTAGACTTCAATTAAGTATCAGGGGGGAAAATGCTACTGGTACTAGCTGTTCAACAGGCTAAAAGACTACTTCAGGAAGTGGTGGATTGTCCTACTTCAAAAGTGTTTTGGCTCTCAGGGATACTTTACTGAGTACAAAGATCAGACAATTCCTTTCCAGACCTTACATTCTGTCCATGATTCTATCAGTTTAGAGCCCCAGAAACCAAGCTGAAAGCAAATGAATCTTTAAGTATTAAGAGGATTTGGGGAGATTTATATTAGATCTCAGTGGAAAAATTAGGTGACCCCTAAGGACCTGAAAGCACACTTAATTAGCACTGAGTTGCAGAGGAAGAGAGCAGGTGAGTATAATTCAATTATAATTACAATTATTTACGTGACAAAAGTGGGAAATATTAAATATATGAGACTTAGCCATCTCTTCATCTTAATTAATTTAATTAATTTTAAATTTAATTTAAACTTAATTACTGTTAAGATTTTGTTCTTTGAAGGGTGTCAATCATCCCTGGCATTTAGTGACCATTCAAAGTTACAGCAGCACTGAAAAAAGTGACTTATGACCATTTTTCACACTTAACAACTGTTGAAGCATCCCCATGCTCACATGATCAAAAGTCAGATGCTTGGCAACTGACTCGTATTTATGACGGTTGCAGTGTCCCGAGCTCATATCATCACCTTTTCAACCTTCTGACAAGCAAAGTCAATGGGGAAGCCATGTTTCACTTAACAACCATGTTAATAACTTAATAACTGCAGTGATTCACTTAACTGTGGCAAGAAAGGTTGTAAAATGGGGCAAAAAAAGCAATTGTCTCACTTAACGACAGAAATTTGGGGCTCAGTTGTGGTTGTAAGTTGAGGATTACCTGTAAATGTCTAAAATAGGACCTGAGCTACCTCCATACGAGGAAAACAAACATCTTTAGCCTTTCCCATCCATTATTTCTTAGTGCTTCTTTCCTACCATCAGGTTTAAATGACTAAGTCATCCCTCCTTTTTGACCCCCATATTCAGTGTCAGGCAACGCTAAATAAATGGTTAGATTTCATTGTAACATAAGACAGACCATGAAAAGCAAGAAGTGAAAGAAGTTGGGCATTATTCAGAAATAACTAGATTCAGTTACATCCTGTAATAGCAATATCTTCTAGTGGTCGTGGCCCATATTTCTCTCATAGTTGCTTTGCTGTCTGAATGGGACAGATTAATAAGACTAGGATGTATTTAACTGATACTTTTCTAAATGGTATTCTTGTGAGGTTTTCGGATGCAGAAAAATGAGAGATAGAAAGTTTACAAATTTGCACTCCTATTTCATTTCTTGCTCAACATCATAAAGTTTCATTTGTTCAACATAAAACTGCTCCTTTCATTTGGAAGCAATTTTACAAAGAGTTCAATCAGTGATTTGCTAATTAGCAAAACAACTGCATGTAGAAAATCTCATAGTAGACATTTTAATGAGTTACTTCTGCTTCTGGCATGAATTTGGAGTGGATTTGCATGGAGTGAATATTATGAATTTAAAGAGCACTTAACATACACCAGTACTAATTGCAAAACAAATGACAATTTAAAAAGATGGAGCAGAATGGAGAACAGAATTGGAGTAATGAAGACAGCGGAAAGATTAAAAAAAATAATTAGTTTTGAATATACACACATTTCAGATTTAACAAATAATTGGAGGCTATAAAGAAAATTTGCAATAGGGCAATAATGAGGATTTTGGATTGTTCTTTCTACCTTATTTTATTTTCCTAACATTGTTTTTAAATCATGCGTACTTTTTAAATACTCAGATCCAAATAGTCCTTGACTTGGGACCACAGTTGGGATTGGAATCTATCATTGAGTGAAGTGGTAGTTAAACAAGATGCCCACATGACCACTTCACTCAACAAACATAATCCCAGCTCTCCCAATTGTAGTCATTAAGTGGACAGAGCAAAAGAGCTGCCTGCTAAAGGAGGGCAAGCAGCCCTCTCCATGGGTGGACAGGAACTTCTGCAATGGGCTGCAGAAACAAATTTTGGATCTTTGGGGTCCAGGCTTTGTTTCTGCATCCCACTGGAGAAGTCCATCTCCCCTCCATGCATGGAACAGAACCACTGTGATGGGCTGCAGGAACAGAGTGGGATCTTCAGGATCTGAACTCCCTTTCTCCATCCCTCCCTTTTGCACAAAGGTAAACTCCTTCAAGAGACTGCACAAAGACAGCACTGATCTTTTGGATTTGACCTCCATTTCTGCAGTCCACCCAAGGAGTTCCTCAGTGGGCAGCCCTCTTACTCTTGAATCTCAGCTCCTCTTTCACTCTCAAAGAGCTGCCTGCTTGCCAGAATCTCAGTGCTGTAGCATATGGTAGCTGCTTGCAACCTTCCCTGCTGGCTGCCCCATTGAGAAACCAGCAAAGAAGTTTGGAAATGCTGAACACATGATCATGGGGCACTTGGCAACTGGTCTTAAGTGCAAACAGGTTGCCAAAGACCCAGATCGCAATCATGTGGCCATGGGTGGGGTAAGGAGCAGCATAATGTGATAGCCAGAAGTGCTTTATGGACTGTAAAGCACTCTTTCTGAGGCCATTGTACCTTTGAAACGGTCATTAACAACCGTCCATAAGTTGAAGACTACCTATATTTGACTATTTTAAACAGTGCATGACTATTTTGACTATTTTTCAGTGATGCTGAAAAAAATGAATGTGTCTGATTAATACTTTTAATTGAAGTGAATTAGTTTATAATTAAAAATGTCTGATTAAGTAGAAATGCATACTAATAAGTATTATACTTAATCACTAATGATTTCTGTAAGCATTTTTACATTTCATCCTTCTGAGGTTGGTAAAAATGAGGACCCAGATTGTTGGGGGCAATATGCTGACTCGTTTAGAGAGGGCTGTAAAGCACTATGAAGTGGTATATAAGTCTAAGTGCTATTGCTATTATAATTTACCTGTGACAGTACTGAAGTTAAAACTCACCTTAATATACCATAATTCTTGTTTGACAGGAAACAAATATATTTTGTCAACTGAATATATTGTAGCTGAGTTGGATTATCATCATGCCAAAAGTCATCTTAAACAATATAGCTGGGTTATTGAATAATATATTTTATGTAATTATATTACTTTTTTAAAGTTTTACAATAATTATAAATCTCTGTATTATATTATTGTACTTTCTGATCCAGAGGCCACCATAAATGTTTGATTGATCATCATACAATTAGTCATTATAAATTCTTCATTTTGTTCTTACTGAAACAGCATTATAATGTCTTTGGATTCTCTCTCCTTCCAGTCTTGTATCTAGAATTAAAAAACAAAGTTCAAAGTGATCTCTGGAGCCCTATGGCTTGAAAAGCAAACTTGAATATCATTAATTGGTTAGTACTGATCTTTGCAGAACTCTAAATTGTATACATCTTGCAAAAAATAAACAAAATAAGATTGCAAACTAAGTGTTCATTTAAAAAACAATAATTTAAAAAGCAATTTTCTTGCATTTCCCCCCTATTTTCCTTGTTCAGGGCATGCAATCTGCTGTTCTCTAGATGGTTTGCTGTTGGCTGTCCAACTGGCATTGAGGAGAATTGAATATCTGGAAACCATCTGGATGCTCACCCCTTTTTTTGGTATCAGAAAAATGTTAACAGTAGTAATACAGAACTCTTCAGTAATTCATGTTGTTGATAAATAGTCCAAATTTGAAGATTTATAGAATTGCACAACATAGGTGATGGAATGAGATAACGATATTTTTAGTTTTAGGAATCCTTTTATAATTAATCATCTGTACAGAATGTTTTTCAGTATTTTGCATAGCTAATAAATTTGTTTTTCTCTCCTTTCTTTTTAAAATATCACTTTTATTGGGCTGCAACAAAGGAAACCTATGAGAACAGAAGAGAATGGAACAAGTCAAGCTGAATATGCAATGACATCCTGTCAAAACAGCAAGACAGTTGATGCTAACAATGCAGTGGCGTAATTTCCAAAACCACCTCTTGAATAGTAAACATTAAAAGCACACATGGAATATGCAAGGTGGGTGAAATGCAGCATCAAGAGAAGACTTATGGCCGAGGACTTCATTTCAGAAATAGTGCGCGCTTCAGATATTCTGAGAAGAAAAGCAGGTGACTGCTCTTTGGCTTGCTGAGTGTCACAAAAGTGGGATTATACCAGGGGCTACTCTGAAAAAGGGATTCACAGAGGCCTACACACTGCATGCTTGTTCTTTTGAAAGCAACATTGCAGTGTCCCTTCTTCCTTCCTCATCTTTGATTGACTGTTTATTTTTTTAAATGCTTCAGTGATCCTTTGATGATTAAGAGGGCAATCTATTCAAGACAGTAAAATACCATAATTTGGCTTGCAAATTCAAGCTTTGCATTTTTCTGTTTCTCTACAGTCATTTTAAGACCCACCCTTTATCATGATCATATTGTTAAAGTGGAAAATCTCCATTCACTAAAAGGGAACATCCCTCCCTGCCCAGCTGCATGATTTCATTGAATGTATCCCCTCCTATACAATCCTATGACTAGATATAGATGCCATTACTACAGACATAAAGGAATCCAGAATGTCTTATAGCAATTAGCTTTCCTGGTCAAAAGAAAAGTGTTGCCTAGGATAACATTTTAAAGTCCAGAAATGTTTTGGGCCTTAGTGTTTTAAAAAAAAATCTATATTTGGGTACATCTATTATTATTTTGCAGTTTTGCACATGTATATCCACCACACTAATCTGTAGAGAAGATCTCTAGAATGATCTAAAAATGTTTGACTCTGACGACAACAACTTCTTGAAGACTTTCCTATTCCTTGAGTAGCTCCTCCAAGCAAGTGCTAAATAATTTTCTGTTGTAGGGAAAAAGCTGTGATAGATCAGTCCCCTCTTTAATAAGGGGCTGCCAACAGTGCCAAAATTGCTCTGTGTTGTATCACTTTGTGATAAAGTACCACAAACAGTTTAAAAGCATAATCCAACTCTCCATTGTCACAGTGTCTTGTTAGGCACAGTCACTTTAATTTATAAAAGAACGTCTGATGCCATTACTTGTCCATACTTTGATTAAGAAGTTAAAATATGATTTCTGTCTTTCCTTTCATATGCCTTCATTTGTCACAGCTGTACCAGCAAAACAAAACAAAATGATGTGTCACAATTTGGCTTCTTGTCTTGCTGTCAAGCTGCAGTGATATTCTGTCTTTGTAGATTCAAGCAGTCTAAAATAAGCTGTAGCAGCTCTGTAGTCTAGAATCATGGTATTGTGTCAGTCCTAAGTCCTAAGAAGCTGGTTTGTTGGCTGAATGTAGCTAGGATTGTCTCAGAATAGAATTCCAGTGTATTCCAACTTACAATCAATTTTTCAAATAAGAACTAAAGAACTCTTAAAAGTGAGGTATGGGGCAAATTCTCTGCATTGAATTCTGATACTCCCTCACCTAGACAAAGTCACTGTATAATGCTGTCCCAGTTAAATATGAAACAGGATGGATGGATGGATGGATGGATGGATGGATGGATGGATGGATGGATGGATGGATGGATGGATGGATGGGTGAATGAATGAATGAATGAATGAATGAATGAATGAATAATTTTAGAGCCTTTGGCCAGGCAACAGTATACAATAATACTTAAAATCAATATAGGTAGGGCTGTTGCAGCAACAATGACTGGCCTCTTAATAGCAATATAAAATATTTTTGCAACCATTTTAGTTATGTCTGGGCTTGTATCTGCAAGGCAGTAAGTTACATAAAATAAATAATTTATTCCTGGGAACCTTAAAAGTAGTGGTTATATTTGTTCTTTATATCCCAGTAGAGGATACAGTTCAAAAAAGCATGTCCCCAAGGAGTAAGGGGTTGCAAGGGTGTCTCACTAGAAAATTGGTTCCTTATAAATCTGGATAAGGAAAATTCATTTAAACAGAACGGTGAAATAAATCCTAAACATACCTGTTCAATATGTTGGTGATCAAAATATCTTTTATATGATTTCCTGGAACAGGAAAAGATTAGTACCTTTGTTTTAGAATACTTTAAAGTTGGTTTGTTATTACTGCAATATGGCTAGAAGACTCTCATCAGTCACTAGAGACATGGTGACTTCTGGCAAAGCAAACAGATCATATCAACATATAATAAAAAAGGCACATATATATCAGTCAGCCTAGGGCAGCAAAGTCTTCAGTTTCCAACGAGGCTGCCAAGTCATTCATATAAAACAAGATTGGAGTCAAGACACACCTTTGTCTAGCTCCACCTGTAGAAGGAAGTATATTAGTTAAAGTGCCGTTAGGACTATATGTAATCTGCAAAAAGGATTTAGAATAATTGCCTTCTGGTCAGTTGAAGGTTTCCTTCGTGTTTCCCATAGTAGTCTCCTAGAAATAGATGACATGAGCAGTACATAAATCAGATAAATCATAAATAAATAGAATTGAAAGCTGCTTTAAACCAATAAAAACTACGAAAAGATTACATATTGATGCCCAGAAATATTTCTCAGTGGGATGGTGTAAGACCATATGTAATCCAGTGTAGACCAGCCTTCACTGAACCCAAACTGCTCAGTCCCCAAGATTTTAGGATCTGCGTCACGTATTTAACTCATTTCTGAGATACAAAGCATAAAGTTTGCCTACCGTTGATAACTCACTCATGGGTAATAGGAGTCCTTTGAGGATACTTCTGAAACATGGGTAGTATGGTGGAATTTGTGCATAGAGTTCCCTTTTATTGTTGATAGAGATTTACAAACAAAACAAAATTAACAAGGAGTAATGCCCACCATTTTGAATTGATTTTAATACACTCTGGAGGGACAGGATGTGTGGGGACTGTCCCATTTTTTGAATGCCTCATCAATTTCATTTTTTTTATGGAGTCAGGAAGTGTGGGTGGGTGGAAGATTGGTAGTAAGAAGCAGTGGACTCAAGGAAATGATAGTTATTGTAAATTGCAGAAAAATGGCTCTCTCAAGTTCCAGCAGAGGTTTTACATAATGGATTTTCAGAATACCTTTCCATAGCCTTGGAAATAATTATCCAGTAGATTTGTTTGCCTTTACCCTCAGAAACATTTAAAAAAACCTTTTCCAAGTGGCATTTATATATTTGTCCAGCAAATAATGGCTGGGGAATCTTCTTACTGCCTGCTCTATTTGTCAGTGTTACAACCTTGTTATTTAGAAACCTACAAATTACTTTCAGCCACTCTTTATTACTATTATCAGTGCTTTTTTTTCTTTAAAAAAAGGTGCCGGAACTCACACACGTCATACAACCCGCCTTGCCTACCCTACAAGGTTCCATCCCAAAAAGGTGCCGGAACTCCGTTCTGGGCCTTCTATGAGAAAAAAAACCCTGACTATTATTATTTTTAATCTGCCTGTGTTATATGAAAAGTTTACAGTGAGCCAGCAAAATATTCATAAAAGAATAAGCAAGATTCATAAAAAATAATCTCAGATACCCCAGTCATTGACATCTTTTGTTTAGCCAAATCTTCAAGGGAATCAAAAATAAAGGCCATACGTATTCAGATTCCGTCTTCCTACCTTTTGAATCAATCTTGGCTCCTGGATTGAATTTTGATTTTTGTTGCTAGTTCTTTTAGTATTATTTTTCTTAGGATTGTACTCACCTTTTTTTAGTCCTGCATTCTTGGTCAAGAATAGTCATCAGTTTTTTTAAGTTTGCCTTGGCTTACAGGCAGTCCTTAACTCATGACCACAATGCCTTTTCTTACAATCTTTTTTTTTTGCCATTGTCATTATCATGTGGTTGCTAAGCAGATCAGACTTACCCATTGACTTTGCTTGTTGGCAGCTGACTTGAGAAGGTCACAAATACATGCTTGTTGTCAAGTGCCCAAATGCAAGGACCTATTGTAAGCCACTCTTTTCAGCATCATTGTGATTTCAAATGGTTGCTAAACAAATGGTATTAATTTGAGGACTATTTGTACAATAGACAGATTTATTAATGTAAGAAAATATATAAATAAATTAACTGCAGTACTAAAATATGTTTCAATTACCACATAGTTTTATTAATCCACATTCAAGCAAAGAAACATTTAAAAAATGTAAAATAAAATAAAAATGAACAAAATACTAAAATATTGGGTTTTAATTATGCAGCTATCTAGAGATCGGAGTGCTCAGTCATTAGTAGTAAAGTTGAGAATGGAATAGTGTGGACTGGTATCATCTATTTCTGGGCTTCATATTTGCTGATTGATTCAGCATTTTTGTAGCTATTTCAGTTACAGTTGTTAATAAGGCTCTCCATTCTGTCAAAAAGGACTTTAATTAGTGGAATTTCAGAATCCCCTGCTGAAGAAAGTTTACCTGTTGCTTCTCTGACAAGACGAGAGATCAACAACAAGCATGATTTTCATTCCTGTTGTTCATCAAGATGACCAGGCTCAGTAACAAATTTTGAAGGCTCGTTCTCTTGTTCTCCATTCACTACACTAGCTTGGCGTTGATAGACATTTAAGAAGAGAAGAAATCTGTAACCTTTAGCTCATTTATACTACAGTTAATCTTGCAAGAATTTTTCCTTTCTTCAGTGTCTTCAAGGACTGGTATCAAACCAGACACTATTAAATTGCAGGTAGAACCTTGAGAAGTACAAAGGGAAAAAGCAGATGCCAGAAAGCAATAAAAGGTCTGCACTTGGATAGAAGTATGTCTTTTAAAGATAATCAGTGTTAGGATAGGCAGCTCTTGCGTATTTTAAAGATAATATTAGAGAAATAATATACTTGGTTGCCAGTTTGATACCCCTTCTTTCCTCCTAATTAATCTATTGCGCGAATTGCATAACAGTTATCACTTTTAGAGGCTTCTCTGTAGCTTAGCTGTTAGCTATTCTCCAGGCCTCAATAAAGCAGCCTTACACTGTGACCTCCACCTTTGTTATTAGAATGGCCATGAAAAAAAAGAAACCACGAACAAAATAGCAACACTGAAATTATGACAGCTGTTTTTTAAAAAAATATTGCAGAACAGGACTGCAGGCTATAATGTCCCTAAACATACCAGTAAGTGAAAAAAAAAAGAATAAGAAAAGCTGAGCAGTATCTAGTTCATTGAAACAGCCTGCCCCATCATATTCTTGCCAGGAATTCCTCAAGAGTTTAAGAGTTAGCACAGGTAAGCTATTAGTTACTGGAGCGCTTGGCCAGCCATTACATTTCAGTGAAAACATTATACTAAGTAATAGAGCATATGTAAATATGTACATTGTCCAGAAGGGAAAACATTCTTAGGGAGAGATCTGTGGAGATGCATATAAATTAGCCTATTTATCTAAGTTTCTTTCCTTCTAAAAAATATAGTTAGTATCTTGTTAAGAGTTAGTGAAAATGGAGCAATCAAAGTACAGTATTCAGGTTTCTGAGGTTTTCTTTTCCAATTAGTATAGCATATTGTGGCCAGTAAAAATAATATAATTTGAATTCTTGGAGGCAGAATTGTTCAGAATTAATCGCTGATTCAAAAAAAAGTTGCTCTTAAAACCATACTACACAGTCACTTAAAGTATATTACTCTCCCCTCAATCCTACTTTGAATATTTCACGGGGAGATTTGCTCTCTCTTTTTCGTCAGATCCCAATGTTACAATCTTTAGAAAGTATATGTT